GAGTCGAGAATTGAGCACTTAAAAATAAAAGAAATATTTTAAAACAAATAAAAATATCACTTGTTTCTCTCTTTTGATATTTTTATATCCGATATTTGGACATAAATCTATCTTTTCTTTCCTTTCTCTTTTCCTTTCTTTCCTTTCTTTTCCTCTACTTGGTTCCTTCTTAGTGTCTTTTTTTCATCCGCAAATGAACTCTATTTATAGGGGGATATGAGCAAGTTGAGACAATAAGGCCATTAGCTGTAGTTGATCACTAGCACATGTAACACTAACTGATCAGTATTAGGCACATGCTATGATTATTGCTTAGGCACATGCAACTCCATATGATAACAAACAATTGCATTATTATATAAGTGCTGCAAATGGGTTGCACATGTATCTGCATTATTAGAAAAGTGACCACTCCTTTAATTTTACACTCAAAATTATGACACGATATGTGCTTCTCTTTCTAAGAAATCCGTTTCTTTCTTCAAAATAAAAATCATGCCATTAATATGCTCGTTCTTCACTTTCCAAGAAATCCGTTCTCTCTCGAAAATAAAAATCATGCCATTAATATGCCCGAAAAAAACCGAAATTAAAAAAAAAAAAATCATACCAAACATAATGGCTACAGATTTGGGCTGCACAAGTTCAAAAATTCAAACGAATTACAGTACATCGGCATCTTGCAGTTCAAAGAAAAATCATCGACTAACTTAGAAAAAAAACACAGTCGTGATCAGATATACTGTATATATACAATAGATAAACAATATGACAAATTCAAACATTGACGTAACTGAATATTTTATAGAGTATAGTTATACAAAATATATCGATCTGTCTATGGAGCATGTGGAATTACGATCAGCCTATATGACTCTTATGTGGCACAAACAAGGGCATTAAAATATTGCGTGTGTCTAATTTATTTTTATTTTACATAAATAAAGGAAAAATAAAAAAAAAATTGTTCCTTATCCAAACCCCGTACGCATAAAAAATATAGAAAAAAAAGTATTGATTTTTTTCAAAGCCCGTACGCATCCCTCTGGATGCTCTTGTTCTTCTTTGTGTGCCCCTCTAGACGTTCTTCTTCTTCTCATCACAATCTCCAACCTTTTGAATTATTTTATCGAAAAAACTTCATACAAGGATTTTTTGAAATTTATAAGGTAACCCTTACTGAATCACCTTGATATGGGATATTATATACTAGACCGGTTCGTCGGGTTAGCCAAATAAAATAGATCAACGGCCTGGTCGAGCTGGACTGAACATCCGCAATAAAGGAAAGAAGGTAGTGTTGGGACATATGAGGATCTCGATATGCACAAATCACGGACAAACATTCAACATAAACCTATGCGCAGCGGATCTAAAGGTTTGATGAAGAAAACTTACTGCTTAAAATTTATGTAGATCTGGCTGGCCCGAACAGTTGACCGCAAATCAAATCTTCTCGGAATCGAACAAACTTGACCAATCCAGAAAGCTGACGTCACGGCGAAGTCAATGGCGTTGACCGATCGGAAAACGGAGGTCTCACGCGCTCTTACA